TATAGACCAATTTCCTGTTGCACTGTTCTATATAAAATTATCTCAAAAGTCTTAGCATCAAGATTACAAAAGGTGATGCATGACATTATACGTCGCGGACCGCACGAAAATGACCGCGGTCGCGCTGGTGTCTGCAACACCTGAACCTGCATTTTCTTAAGTCCAAGACCTCCCGGGCCCCATTCAAAACTCACCCGAGCCCTCGGGGCTCCAAACCAAACATGCACACAACCTTAAAAACATCTTACGGACTTACTCGTGCGATCAAATCGCCAAAATAACATCATATACATAGGATCAAGCCTCAAACACATGATTTTCTTTCTTCAACTTTCATAACTCAAACTCTCCATTTTTAGTCCGAAACACGTCATATGACGTCCGTTTTTAGCCAAACTTTACAGATAGTGCTTAATACATATTTAAGACTTGTACCAGGCGTCAGAACCAAAATACGAGCCCGATACCTATATTTTCTAACTCCTTTTCATATCAAATTTCAGAAAAATAATTTTCTTTCAAAAATTCGTTTCTCGGGCTTGGGACCTCAGAATTTGATTCCGGGCACACGCCCAAGTCCCATATTTTTCTACGAACTCTCCGGGACCGTCGAATCACAAGTCCGGGTCCGTTTACCCAAAATGTTGACCGAAGTCAACCTTATGCATATTAATACCAAAATTCATCAAATGTTTCACATAATTCACATATTCTAACATAAAAACTTTCTGGTTACGCGCTCGAACTGCGCACGCCAATCGAGGCAACTAAAAGCGAGGTTTTCAAGGCCTCGGGAGCACAGAACAAGGAAGAATTACGGTGATGACCCCTTGGGTCGTCACAGATTGAAATGAGAGAGAAATCTAAAAAAAGGAGATAATTGATAAATACATTTCCTGATTTATGAGAGGTGTCAAGTCATCTTGTGATACCCCTCAATTATATATATATAGATTTTATCAGATGCTTAGATAAACTAAAAGGTGTCCCACAACATGTAAGGCCCTAGAAATATTAAGTACTTTATATTTATAAAATTATTGATAAAATATTTTCAATTTTAATATTTTTTTAAAAAATTGATAGAGGTAGAATTGAATAGTTAATAGGGATAAAAAAATTCTTCTAGTAAATTGAATAATATATTTATCTTCTCATTAATTTTATTTTTCTTTCTTTACGTATAGTCTTTTTTTTTTTTTTACTATTTTACTTCTTAATTTCAACTCGAATTCTTTAAATTAGCTAATTCTTCGTCACATTTGATTGATCCACACATCAAAAAGTAAGTTCTTTTGTGTCTTATCTTTTTTAACTAAGAAATCCCTGAGAGGAGTGTCGTAAGGTTCAAAACACGATGGGTAATAGGCTCAATCCTTTTTACCATTTTCACTTAATGCTATATTTTTTGTATATATATACATATATATATATATATATATATATATATATATATATATATATATATATGGGAGAGTTCAATATGATGTGCGCCTAACCCACATTATACGTTGCTCTATCACCCTAGATTAAAGCCATGTAGATTTTTTTTATCACAATATTATTGAATTTTATAAAAGAAATTTCAAGGTCTTTAATATATTTTAGTTTAAAGCTATCAGTTTCGTTGAGTCACCCTGATTAATGATTAATAATTATCTATAGATCACTGCCCCATAAATTTGTTATTTAACCAGCTTCATTCACATTTGGTAATTAAACAATATATTCATTATTTATTGTCTATCTTAATTGAGACTCTATAAAATTCAATTGAGAATGTCAGAGTGGACAGGCGGCTCAAGTAGGATTCCGGTAAAACTCTGATTCAGGTCCCCAAAATTTTTCAACAACAGGTGGCTCAAGTAAGAGACACCATTGATTTTATGTCAAGTTAGACAACGTTAAAGTTTGCAACAAAAACAAAGTACAAAAACTTTGGACAAAAGAAAGAAAGAAAAAGTGTCTACTCTTTGACACTAAATTTTTTTTAGAACTTTTAATTAAATTACTTAACTCTTCATATTAATAAAATTAATAATGCCGTGTGAGATAGAGTGTACACAAACCTTACCCCTACTTCGTATGAGGTAGAGAGGCTCGGCTTAAGCAAAACCATTTCAGAACATATTTGAAAAATATAAAAGTAAAAACACTATGATGAAAATAGTAAGGAAAAAAAATATTGGTAACAAAAATCATAAGATAACCAAAGCAAAGGAAACAAATAAAGTACATAAAATTGAAAAATAAAATAATAATAATAATAATAATAACAATAATAATAGAAATATAGTAACAATAGAATTGCTAAATTTACACTTGATTACTCGCTGTTTTGCTAAACTATCTAAGGGATCATATAGGTAGACGCTTTTTTTCATTACAACTTTATATTTGAAGAGAAGGCAAAACACTTCAATTCATATTAATTCACCAAAGTAAAACCTCGTTTCAGATACTGCAAACAAGAAAATGGCAAGTCAAGAATATTCTCAACTACTAGGGATTTAGACATGATAGTCTTCATAACCATATCCCTACCAGATTTCCCTAAACCTCTACACACAACAAGAGATGTATTACATACCCAAGGCACAGAAACTACATAAGCCAGACCATTATAGGAGCTCTTACTCCCTAAGAGAACCTCTTTGTATGCTCTGCACACTTTAGAAATATACTTGCCCATTGGCAAAAGGTGAGCACCGGCCGGGCTAAAATCAGCATCCCTGAAGTCTACATCTGAGTGAAGGTTTACGATAACAGTTCCATGCTCGGGGTGAAGTTGCTCTGCAAGAGCATTGAGAAATGGAGAGCGTGTATTCCACAGCTCGTGAGGAAAAATATCTTCCCCGTCATATGCATCGATGAAAACAAGATCATAGAGATTTTTGTTTTTGAGGAGAAACTTCTCAGCATCTGATTCATGTAAGTGAAGCCTCTCATGAATGCCTTTCCATTGCACTTCTTCAATTGGATTACAAGTTGAGTATGCACGGCTACCAGATGGGGTCATCACCGAGTAAGATGGGAACCCCATTGCTTGAACCGAGGCTGAGATAACCACGGGGTCGATTTCAGCTATGTGCACTTCAGCACCTGATACATTGCAGTGGTTATTTCCATAAGATATAGTAAGGCAAATATTAATACGTCAAAACAAGCAGAAGCTAGTTTAGTAACAAGAGGCAAGTCTCACAAATTAGAATGCAAAGTTTCCCCAGACCATTGGAAGAAATTGAAGTCCTAAGAAGTGAACATGAGAATATAGGACTTAAAGCAGAAAAAACTTTAGTTTCTTTTCTAGGTAATCTGATAGTCATATCTTTTCTCCAAGTAAATGCCGGATATAAGTGCTTTGGCTATTATAATTGACAAAATTCGTAAATACATCCAAGTGGCTAGAAAGGAACACTCCAGATCTCTGACCGCATCATCTCCTGTCAGATTATCTGCATCAATACTTGCCTTAAAGATGAGATTTTACGTCAAAAAGAGAAAAGAAAACTATGTATCTTTAATATCAGATCCAGTAATAAGGAGTAGATAATGGTTTGCCTTTCATACTTTGTCAAATGACATAACACCTCCAAAAGGATGCTCAAATTCAGACGCTTAAAGTGCAGCATAGGCAGGAAAAAAAAAACATTCAGCCCCGACCTTGGATTTTATTGGCCAAAAACAATGGTATGCTTCCTCCACCATGCCCAATGCATAAAATCCTCATTGGTTTTCTCCCACAAACTGCACTTTCAAGATCGTATTTACAAGATGCGACGGTAGCCAACCCAGCAGAGACCATGCTCTTCACATCTGTAGAGGAGATGATATGACAAGATGCAACATTAAAAGTGTGAAATCATGAGTATCATTGAGGAGAACTGGAAAAGCACAACACATTGAGTGAGTTTTATACAAGATAAAACATACTTAACCCTATTGAAACCCCCGCACCAAACCAGCCCTAAGTACAGAAAGTAAAGGGATCTGAAGTGAGAAAAGTACCTGACATTCTTTATCATATTAGTTTTAGTTTCAATATCACTACCATCTTTACAGCTTATTTTACCAAAATCTGATACTGGAAGGCAGAAAGTTATAACAGAAAAAAAAACCATGCTTATTTGGTCTTCCAATCCCTTACTTTGCCCATAGTGTCCAATCTAAAAGCCTATTTCAAGAAAATTACTTTCACAAATCTTAGACACGAACACATTAAAAAGCTGATGTCAGGCACAAAGTGTGAAATACAGAAACTTCAGCACGGAAAGCAGTCAATCTTCTGTTAGTGCCGATTACTAGAATACTCTGTCGATGCACTATTTACTCTAAGTTATGTCTACAAAAATTTTGTAAACCCAACTATACTGGACTGTCGACATCCATAATTTCCGTATCCAATCACCATATCTTTTCTCATAAAAATCACAGCATTTTTTAGAGATTGCTTAGTATAATTATAACGTGCATCAATTCTAACAGAATATATGAGACCTGAGATTATAAAAGTGAATTTGGCATGATGTACATTTTTGAGGTTTAGTGCACAATAGCATGAGAAGAACCATTAATAGTCTAGAGGTACTTTTTCCCCTCATTTATGGTAAAAACCTCTATAAAATTAATATGTTTTCTTGCACATGAAATGAAACCATTGTGTAATGTGTTCTTCTATCGGAAACTAAAATGCAAGTTGAAAGACAAAAGCAGCTATTACAGAGATTGCGGAACACGGAAAGCTAAAAATTGATCTGGTTCTATATTTCGGTGAAAACTAAGTAACTCAGTAATTAGTAGACTGGTACTTATGCTTCTTTCACCTTCAATATTGTTAATTATCGCAGAGTGAACGCTACCTTTGAATGACAAGTCAGTCAGCAATAATATAACTAAATAATTATAAGTAAATAATTGCCTCACAGTGAGGGTTTTTTACTTTCATCTTTCTTCAGTGCTACGATAAACAAAAGTTGCACAAGAAGAGACAGACCATGAAAAGGAATTGGTGTAGGAAAGAGTTAAGGTAGCTCCATAATGAGTAACTTGTACATTCCCCTAAATAAATAATTCTCAATGCCCTTTTTCATAGTAAAGCAGCAATTTATACTCAATAATGAAGACGGACCAACTCAAGAACCAAATAATAATAACAGAACTAACATATTTTGGGGGGAATCATCCAGATATTGAAAGAACACGGCAACAATAGTACCATTTTTTATTATTAGAGCATCTTATCTGTCTTGCTATGTAGGAATAAATACACTAAAAGCTTACTACCACAAACAGAGAAAGACCAAAGCACCATGAAAATATTCTACTTGTGAACCCTGAATAGCTGATGGCAAATAATGGACCAAAATTTAAAGCCATTATATATTTTGGAAAACTAAACGTAAAGGTAATGAACAATAATCCTAGAGAAGCCATACATTCTAATTACATGATCATACTATTGCAAAAGAGCTGCAGAGAAAATAATATTGCGATTACATGGAACAGCGAGACACTCTGCCTGCTGCATCAAGTATATAGAACCTGGATCTGATTCCCTGTAAGCAGCCATTACTTTAACTGTGCTTTGGCGAGTATCGTCATTAAAGTGAAGATTACGCCATTGGTAACCAAGAATCCTGAAATTCCCTTCGTGTTCACACCCTGGATATATCTTTTCGTACCTTTGCTGAAGCCAATTCTCTGTTCTTGCCCAGTAACATTTTTGCTATCGCAAAAAAAAAAAAAAAATACAAAAAAAAAAAAAAAAAAAAAAAAAAAAAAAAAAAAAAAAAAAAAAAAAAAAAAAATATTATCAACACTAGCCCCCATTATCCCATCATCATAGAAAAGAGTGGCAATATCACATCCAATTACCAAAACAACAACAACATCTCAATTCCACAAACTAGTTGGGAACATCTATATTAATCCTCAATATCCCCATTTCCCTCCATGTTGACCCGATCCATTCCCATAATTTGCATTTCCAAAGGATTTAGGAGTCTTTCTTTTCTTTTCTTATAATGGAGAAATAAATTATTTTCAATTTCTGTATAATTGGCCCGCTCCTCTACCCCTCTCCACCAAAGTACCGCATAGCTTGGATTCAAACTCGTGAGGTGAGCTTACTACCTTTACTATTGAACCAAAGCCTGGATACAAAGGAGCATAATCAACAATTTGTCTTTTATTACTCCTCCATCCCAATTTATGTGACACACTTTCCTTTTTAATATGTCCAAGAAAAGAATGACACAGTTCTATGTTAGAAACAATTTTAGTTATAAACTTCCCGCTTTACCTTAATGAGATTATTTCTAGCCATGCAAATGCCTCTATCTTATTATAGATCACAAGTTTCAAAAATCTTTCTTTTTGTGCTTACACTCTGTTTGGATCATTGTTTTCATCGTTTTATAATGTATTGTATTGTATCGTATTGTATGTATTGTACTATTGTTTTATGAATACAATGTTTGGATAGATTGTATTGTTTGTTATTGTCAAATAATATTTTACTGTTTGGTTTGACTGTATCATACTGTACTGTAACTGATAAGTTTACTAAAATACCCTCAATTGTTTAAATATTAAATTTATCAAAAATTATGCTATAAAAATAATTTTAAAAAACAAAACACAAGGAGGCAAAACACCTTAAGAAAGCAGAACAAAGGAGTGAGACAGAAGAAGGCAAAACAAAGGAGCACAACTAATTAGAATTGAGTTAAAAGCAAATTAGGAGAAAAAAAAAACAGAAGGCCCCAAAACACCTTTAACGTTTGCGGCAAAAGTTTTGGAAAAAAAAAAACAAAGTGGGTTATAGGTTTGAGATTTGTAGTTAAAATAAAAAAAAATGTAAAGGTTAAAATAGAATTGTGGAGTAATAAGTTAGGGCATAATTAGAAAGAAAAATAGGAAACAATCCCACCACACCAAATCGGTTGTTTCAAAATGGGGACTTTTCATTGTTCCGGAACAATGAATTTAACAATACAATACAACCAATTTTAACGAAACATTCAAAACAAACATTGTTTTGGGATAACAATACAACGGGGAACAACCATCCAAACAAGCTATTAGTCAAACAAGGTCACATAATATAGCACGGAGAGAGTCTAAATTTTCTTAAACTATATAATGAATAAAGGCATTAAAAAATAAATAAAAAATAAAAAAAGAAAGGCATTAGCATACTCAATAATTTAAGACAAATTAGGAGTTGACGAAAATTATGATGGAGCATAGGGGGAGAAAAACTGAACTGGTCTAGAAGAAGGGTAAGCTACGACAGAAACGACGCCGTTTCCTTTGCCGGAAGCTGATCGGAAAACTGTGTTGCCGTCGGAGGAGGTGGTGGGGCCCCACCATTCGGAAGAATAAAACCAGTCGCCTTCATCTTCTATACTTTGTCGAATTGCCGTTGATAACCGCCTTAGCTGCTGCCATGCCAAATTCCGTTTGCGTAAATTCAACATTTCCAAACCCCTCTCTAAACCCCTCGACGGATATTTCGGGTCTTTTAAAGGGTCAAATTTTTAAACAATACATTTAGCTTTAAATCGAACTAATAACACTTTATATATGTCATTTATTTACTATTATTATTTTAATTTTAGTTAATTAATACTATATATTTTTACTTCAATTCTATTTGCAACAAATTTTTTTAGTATAGAAAATAAAACGTACGAGAAAAAATTATTTTATTGATAATTAATGTGAGTACTGTTATGAATAGTTTGTACATTGGATGCTACTTTGGATACTACATTGAATTGGATGCTACATTGGATGTCATGTTGTGAATAACTTAAAGATTAAATTTCCTACTTTATGTCCATCATCTTTACTTTTTATGCCTATAAAAGGCCATGTAATTGCAATGGAAAAATATACCAAAGTAAAAGAAGAAAACACTTCTCCCTTCTTTCTATCTCTTATTATTTACATTTTACTGCATTACTTTTATTTTATTACACGTTATCAGCATGAAGCTCTAATTTTATTCTTAACTCCCGCTAAGTTATGGCAGTACATATCATATGCTCATTGTTTGCAGATTACTTGTGCGCTTGGGCATCTTAAATAGTTTAAGTACATTGCAGTGATTAAATAACTATTTCCTTCCGTGCTCAACTCTTAGAGGACCTCAAAGTCATTAAACTAGCTATGCACTAATGTCATGGACTCCCTGGATCAAAACATATCTTTAAGGCATTTTGAAGAACTGTGAGAAATGAATTGACAAACAATAATTTTTTAATTACTTTATATTTATTGGAACGTATAAATAATGTTAGTCACGTTCAATTCTATTAACACATATATATCAATAATATAAAGTGAAATGAAACAAGTATGTAATTTCTACTTTATGGCAAGAATAAAATGAAATAGTAGATTGTCAACATGATATAACTCTATTTTCATTTCTTTTACCTTAATCGTTTTGTTTTCATTAATTGTTTATTATTATAATTATTTCTCTAACTTATTCATCTTTTATGATAGTTTTCACTATGTCAAATTTTATCAAAACTTGAATTTGTGGCACTTGACATCACCGGAAAGAACTATTTATCATGGGTTCTTGATGCTGAAATTCACCTTGACGCTAAAGGTCTTGAAAATACTATTATACAAAGAAGTAAAGCATCAAATCAAGATAAAGCGAAGGCCATGATTTTCCTTCGTCATCATCTACATGAAGGGTTAAAAACTGAATATTTAACCATAAAAGATCCACTTGAATTATGGATTAATTTGAAGGATCGATATGACCACCTAAAACTNAAAATACTATTATACAAAGAAGTAAAGCATCAAATCAAGATAAAGCGAAGGCCATGATTTTCCTTCGTCATCATCTACATGAAGGGT